ATGGATGTACAATGATTTTTTTTGTGCTGGCTGGTTTTTATATGTTGTGTGCAGTCTTATCTCATATCCATATTATGTTATTCTTTTTTCTTTAAATTAACATATACAACTGAACATTTTCTGTATAAAGTATAAAGAGGGAATGTGAGAAATGTTTTATTGAAGTTTCATATGCACATCCTTTGCAATGAATGACAACTTGGCTTGGGTTCCTGAATATCCTTTTTCCAGTATTTCGTGATGTGAATATTATGATAACACCTTACATTTTTGTTAGAAGAAATACTGAGGTCCCCATGACAAAAAATGACAATTGTCATTAACGTCCTGGAAAGGTGAATACCTTTGTTAAGATCTTCCTAAAATGCACCATGTTCTAACCCCACCTTGGGCACAAAGCTAGCTGGGTGACTTTAGGCCAGTCATGCACTCTCAGCCTAGGAAGAAGGCAAGGGCAAACAATCTTGCAAAGAAAATTGCAGGGACTTGTTCAGGCAGTCACCAGGAGTCAAAATTGACTCAAAGGCACACAAAAAAAGCACCAAGCAGACATCTATTACTGCAATATTTTCAGGGAGCTAACTATAAGTATTAACTGCAAGAGACAACACATTGACCCAACTGCCAGGAGGCGTCTTTCTCTCCATTGAAAGCCAGTAGGCAGCTTTGTTTGCTTAAATGGCAACATCAAGTAGCTAAATATGACTAGCTACCTTGCACCGGGACCCAAATGTGTTCTCTATATTCCTGACTGGTTAGGATCATGCACATCCTTTCAAATTAGAAAATGCACTTCAACAGATAATGGAAATAATAGCTGTAATCAGAGATGAAACATACAAGTAGAAAATTGGATGGTAGGTGTTTCACAGATACCTGCCTCACAGCCCTAACACTTGTATGAAAAATTTAAACTCACCATTTCCTACATAGCCCTAGTGTATGCGACTCTGTTCTTTGAGCTGATATATCTATCTTCCCCAAGGAAAAATACTTCTGAAAGTGTTTAAAACAGAAAATGCATGCTGTAATTTTTTCAAGATATGAATGAAAAGCTGTTTCCATGAACCTCTTCCTATAAAGTTACAGTGCCTTTTCACACAACCTAACACTGTATCACAGTGCCAGCTTCCTATGGAGATTAGACATTGCATATAGTTGTTCCTTTGCTAATGATCTCTTTTCTCCTTAAAACAACTCCACACTTTCCCACAGTATTCTGTCTAATACCCTATCTACTGCCTTACACTATTTCAAAGGACCATACTATTTTTAAATCTGTTACGTTATATATAAACCACGTGAAGATGAATGCATATCTTTTTCTTTTTATTATAGCCACTTAATTCGCAGATGAGTATGAGCATATATATAAACACACTTACACACACACACACACACACACACATGCACACAGACAATGAATCATACACACAACCAAAATAGAGAGAAAGCTGGTGTAATAATTCCCTAACATAATTACAAATGGATAAAACACCTTTGCCCATTCCATAGATAAAGAAATACATGTCAAAAATGTCCACAAGACAATCTTGTAGAATACTGACATAGTACTAATATTTGGGCAAAAATGAGAGGAGACAAGAATATGCAAAATTAATATAATACTTGTTTTCTTCCAGATAACAAATACTATAAGCCACTACTGCCACCATCAGGCATTTCTAAATAGCAAATCAAATTAATTTCAGATGGAACACTGAAAAATAAGGGCTTAAGATTTACAGTGGAAAAATGTTGAGAGATATGTAATAATATTTAACATCCTTTGCCAAATGCCTTTTCTTCAATGCTATATTAATAATCTATAAGCACGCCATTCTAATATATGGTGGCATATGCCCATTGTGAAAAGAGCTACTTTTTCAATCATTTGCCAAAGTTGACCTAGGTTTACATTTAATAGTGGTAGATCTGATTCTTAAAAAAAATATATGGGAAGGGCTATATCTATACAGGTAATCCTTGACTTACAACAGTTCGTTTAGTGACAATTTGAATCTACAATGGCACTGAAAATAGTGATTTATGACCATTTTTCACATGACTGTTGCAGCATCCCTGTGATCACATGATCAAAATTCAGATGCTTGGCAACTGACTCATATTTATGACGGTTGCATTGTCCCAGGGTCATATGATCACCTTTTGCAACCTTCTGACAAGCAAAATCAATGGGGAAACCAGATTCACTTAACAACTGAATTACTAACTTAACAACTGCAGTGATTCACTTAACAACTGTGGCAAGAAAGGTTGTAAAATGGGGCAAAATTCACTTAACAACTGTTTTGCTTAGCAACAGAAATTTTGGGCTCTGTTGTAGTCATAAGTTGAGGAATACCTGTATATAGATGGATATATTAAATTGCAAAATAGGTACACAAAGTAATACTAAGGCTTCTTTTGCCTGCTGTTTATCAGTCAAACATAACTGCGTATACATGAGGCATCACATTTTCCCATCTAAGATTATATCTACTATCAGAGGTCAGTAAACTGAGCCTGGGAGAAGACACTATTTGGAATATGGGTCAAGGAAGAATGTGAGCGCCTTTATTAAGTAAGTGCTGAGATTCAGGAACATCTAGTTTCCGGTCCTCCCCTTACTCCAATAGTTCAAACAGAAAGTTTTAATGTTATGTTAGCCACACCACAGACAAACAAATGATATAATCTGGAGACACCCAGGCACTCCAAATTTTCATTCCAGACAAATCCCATGCATGTTTATGATATTCAATGCAGGCCAGAATGCCTAAGATTGTGACTATAAGTGCTTAACTTTCTCTGAATTGTGCTCAAATGTCCTATGGCATGCTATAGGAGCTACCATTTGTTTAGGACTGATAAAAGACAATCTAAAAAACTGTTCACAATGACTGAATCTGGAATTTCACTTGCTGTATTTAATTATTGTACCAAAAAGATCTTCTTGAATTTTGCTAATATGGAGACAAATGTATCTTTAACAATACATCCATCTATTTGGAACTTTACAAAAACATGCCTTTTAAATCTATATTTTGAAAATAATCTCTCCACGGGTACCTGAAAGTGCTGAAATATGCATAAATCTTCTAAAATGAGTGCTTTAGTAAGGCAATTTTTTAGTGGTGTAAATTTGCTTATACCGTAGAAGATCAAGACTACTGTTACTACGTCTGCTATGAAAACAGAACAGGAATCCAATCCAGTCAAGTCACAAGATCTCTGAATAAGAGAATGTAAACCTGCTTATTCCAGCTCATTAAAGAAAAGAAGAAAATAAATTTCATTTTTAATATGGTCCCACAAAAGTATACTGTCCAAACAGTAGAGCTTTACTAATAATTAGAAATGCCTGGAAGTCTTACATATTGTTTAACATAAGAGAGGATAAAATACATATAATACCCTAAAGTATATTTTAATGTTATACTTATTTTTAAAATCCTCATTATGTTAACACTTGAGAATATAAAATAAATGTCAAATTGCTTATTTCAAATAAGAACTATTTGCATTTTTTGCAGCATCCTGCTATTAAAAGCCTTAAACAAGGGGTGGGGGAAAATAGTTGTTTTGTGAATGGATTACCAGGCATGAAGTTAGTAAGGATCTACTGTGTGGGTAAGGAGGGTATCTTTCTCTAACATTTATTAAGTTCTGGTGATTAAATTCATGTGATAGCATGCAAGTTGCTTCCCTTTTACATTTTATGTTCATTCCCTCACCTTTAAGATAACCATGCATCTCCTCTTGTTAAGTTCCATATTTTTAACCCTTTACAATACTTTCCTTATCAGTAAAAAGAACTTAGCAATTGCTATAGTTTTTCCCAAATAATTTGGTGGCTACATATTTTGTATATAACTAACTTAAACTACTAGTAAATACAATATTGAGAGTAAGATTTAGTATCCCTTTAAAATCTCTTCATTCCTCTACAAGGCTATACAATATTTGTGGGGTAAGCTGGGTTAACAGACAAAAAAGTTTTAAAATAAACGTTACTTTAAAATATCCCAAGTTGTAAACATATTTAAAAGGACTATAAATCATATAATTGCTTTGCTCTTTTGAATCTACAGAAACAAAGAATCACTTTGAAAATGGTATCTCACTTTTTAAAACATCCTTATTTAGATATAAAATGGTACATACTATGAATATATGTTAAATATCTCATTTTAGGACAAAATTATAAGTGAAACTTGAGGAAGATAAATGAATTAATAAATTCTATTACAATAGCTGTACTTATTTCCCATTCCCTGAACTTCTAAAGCCATGAAGATTCTAGTTTATTAAAACTTATCTGTTGCCTGGTTTAATTATAATCTACTTCAGTATAACAGCTTCTTATAAAAGGGATCAAATTACCCACATTAGCTGCCAATGGATCAAAGTCAATCACTGCAGGCAATCTTGGCTCCAGGTGTGCAAAACCTGCCAAATAGCCATTCCAATGATGTTCTGCTAAGACAGGGGTGTCAAACTGGCAGCCCATGGGCTGGATGTGTCACGCGTAGGCCATGCCCATCCCGGCCTCCTAAAGGCAAAAAACATCACGATATGTCACGATACATCATGTGATGTGATTGAGTTTGACACCCGTGTGCTAAGGGAACCTGACTTTCATTCTTTTTGATCCTTTTCTTTTCTTCATGGGCTATGGCTGTGCCACATTCATGTGCTCTTTTATGTACAGAAACATGGACATTGAGCAATTTGTCATTCTTTTCATTGGGAAGATCAACTTATAAATGGTAAAAATAAAATTATGCACTAAGACATGAACAATGCTGTGTTTTAAGACCATAAGAATGCTGGACACTTCTTAAAGGGGAATTACCAGGGAGAGCCATGCAAGCCAAAATCACTCCATTCCAAAGCATCCCTAGCAACTTTTTTTATCCATATACAATATGGCCTACAGAATTCCAGTTATTCTTTTCTTTTGCTTTCCTCTGTTAACAAGCAATGTGCTTTGGATTCTATCGAACAACTAAACAAGCTACACACAATTTGGAAGGACCTATGCAGTCATCGTGGCAGAAGGCGCCACAGCCCTTGCATACTATCATGGCTTTCAGCCTGCAAGAACATTTCAGTTCCAACTCATCTGCACTGCTGCTGTCGGCAAATTTCTGAACTGGGATTTGGGCATTTTGAATAGGTAGGTTTGTAGTTGTGGTTGAACTACTTCCTAAAATCCCAATAGATTTTTCAATGGCAGAGGTCGCCCTTTTGAAACTTGTGCTACCAAAGTGTATTGTAGGGTAATTTCCACGCTGCTGCTGCTGCTGCGCCTGTATTTTTGGAGCAGTTAATGGGGCAAAAGGCTTCTGTGATTCTGAAAGTAAATAGGAAGGGAAGTCAGCATTTTTCAATGCAAAAGCTTTCAACTGTTCTTTGACTTCATTCTGATCGTAGGAAGCTTGTTTCATGCCTAGCTCACAGCTGCTGTTTAAGCCTTCCTCCAAAGAAACGGGTTCTGATTTTATATTGCTACAGACATTTGCCGGCTGAGGCCAACTAAGTCTTTTGGTGGTTTCCATAGTAACTCCTGGTTGTTTGTGATCAGATGGAGCTTCTGCATTGGGAGGGGGAGGGGGCGGAGGGGGCGGGGGATGCACTAATGATTTATTCTGCAGAGTTTGCGAGGCACTGGGGATGTCATCACTTTCCTTAATTTGAACGTTTGGGGAAAAAACAGTTGCCAGTCTCAGCTGGTGAGGTGCTGTAGACATATTGGCCTCTCCCAGGGCCTTCTGCTCAAGGTGCCTGCTGAAAGCAAAGGAACCGCAGCCAGATGGGGCTTTTAAAGTTGCCTGCATCAAAGTGGCTGTAGTAACAGGGCCTCGGGCAGCCATTGGCATTTGGTAGAAATGGGGCTGATGGGAAGAGCTCACTTCGGTGTGGAAGCTGCCATTTTTCTCTACACTAAATAAGTTCTTCTGGAAACTGCATGAGGGCAATGGCCTTTTCTGCTGCTTGATCTCTGGACTGTGAGCTATTCTGCTTTGAATGGCGTGCTTGCTTGGCCACTCCTGTTTAAATAGCTGACCATGTCCAAGTTGATTCATGCTAGAAGTGATTATACAAGGAGCCACTTTAATATCTGAATCCACTGAAGGCTTCCCAGGCTCACATTTAATTTCCCCAGCTGTCCTGGCTACTCTCTTTTTGGGATGATTTTCACGTTTGCGGATTTGCAGCGGGAGTATATTTGCGGCTGTAAAATCTCTCCCATCTGCATTTGGGGAGCTGGAAGGATTTTCAATTGCATTTCGTTCGGATGTGGCTGATTTACACCTGGAGGTAGTTTGCAAAGGCAAAGGAAGCCGACTGATTTCTAGTTTGGCCCCTAACCTGGGCTGTGGCAATACTTTTTCCAATGGCAAGTTGCCTTGGAGTAACTGGGTCACTAGAGGATTATTGGCTTCTACTGATGACAAGCGGCAAGTTGAGGTTCCAGCAGTTGAAACTCTTTTCAGTGTCTCTGTTGTCAGTGCCAAAGAGTGCTCCATGGAATTGGTTACAGATCTCTTAGAGTTCTGAGCTGGCTGCGAACTTGGGGCTATTTCTGCAGTTTGCACAGGCATTTCAGGTCTTACAAAATATTCCGTATCCATCCTAAAGCATTTGTCAGATTCACTTCCTTCTGACTTAACAGGCAAGGCTATGCTTGTCACAACATTTCTTGTATGCATCTCATGCAGATGTATCAAACCTGAAGGCTCTGTTTTCACATTTTTTAAACAGTTACTTTCTGAATATTCCTTATGCTTACTTGGGTTAAGACGACTGACCAAAGACTGCTCAGTGTTCATTGCCTCATTGTCATTCCAACAGATTCGGCTGTTAGGATTATATGGGTTGGTACAGATACTTTCTGCTTCCCTCTTGAAAGTTAAAGGATCTTGAAACTGTTCTGAAAAACCTTGGGTAGAAGGAACAACATCCAACTGCTTATCTTGAGGCCCAAGAGGCACTTCTCGAAGAGCAGAACACACTGCTTGTAAATGCTTGCCATCTGGCTTGGTTGGACCATTGTTAAAACCAGAGCTGGGCTCCAAATTTTCATGACTAAGTAGCTCTGGCCTACTTATGACGGATACTTGCGGACATGTTATGTTTTGTAAAGCAGGTTCAGTCCTAATCGGCCTGTTCTGCATTTCCATGCTACTTTCCACACTTTCAGTGGAAAGACCCAGAGACAGGTTTGAATTCATTGTTGTCATTGTGTGGTCAACGATGACTTTACAAGGAATGGATCTATTTGCAGGTGCCTGTATATATCCTACTGAAGGTTTACCAGGCATATCTAAACGGCTTCTCATCCCCAAATTTCTTTCTATGCCATCAGCACTAATTTTGGTGGAATTATCATAAGAATTTACAGTCATCATGCTGCTGGCAAATATAGAAATGGAAGTCCTGCCAATGGAATCTCCTACTGAAAGTGCCTCATTTCCATGTAAAGCTGCCCTAACAGAGATGTTGTTTGACAAAGCACTTGGGTCACTGCACCCAGTTAGGGATATCTTATCCGAAGGATATCTACTTATAGATCCCCCTGGAGGAATCAAAACAGAGCTGCCAGACAGGTGATCTGATAAATTACTTGCAATAGATGAAGTTGGCACAGTGGTATACTGACTTGAAATTGCACTAGTTGCATTGCTACTTGGCATTGGTAATATTTTCTCCTCTAAGGAATCTGACAAGACAGTAGTGTTGGCTGTGGCTGGAGGACCAGAGTTTTCATGACATTTTGGCACAATAGCAACGCATGGCATGTCAGCCCCTTGGACGGATTTCAGCATAGTTATATTGCTAGTCTTTGCGTCTGTACTTTCAACAGACATTAAAACAGAGGGCTTATCAACTGCACCTGCAAAAGAAAGTTCCTTAATTGTTCCTGACTTAGCAGTGCTACACACAGAACCAGGAACTGAGTTTTTGTTATATAGGACTGAAATACTTTCTGGAGAGGTAGAAGATAGCATTTTCTCACAAAAATGAGGCACAGATATGCTTTCATCAGAATTTTGAACAGGGATATCAGTGCTAGTTTCTGGCAAAGTAGTGGCATTAAGAGAGTGCTGCAGCAAAGCAGTAGCTTCACGAAGGTGAGCAGATTTGTTGCTAGGAGACCGACAGTTAGGATTAACTATAATTACACCAGTAGATCCTTCAATCTTTGTTTCCGAAGCCATAGAGATCTCCACAACTGATGGCGCTTCTTTCAAGGCCTGCTGAGACTTGCTTTCCTTGTTGTTCTGGAGCAAGTGGGCTCTTGCTTGGTGCTTTGCAAACAACTTGGCCTTTGTTTGCTCCTTGATGTGGGCCAATGTTCGGGTCTTCCCACCTTCACAGGGGCTCCCTAGCCCTCCAGAAACAATGCTTGCAGCTGCAGCAACTGCAGCAGCTGCTGCTGCTTCCCTCTGAGCTCTGGCTTGCTGGGCCCTCGCTTTGATATCTGCAAGAGTTCTGGCCCCCGTGTTTCTCCCACTGCTCACAGAGGTACTTGGAGTAGCCTTAGGTTCTGGTTTGGAGACTGGCTGGCTCTTGATGATAAAAGGTGGGCCAATTTTTGAGAGCTGAATCTGAATGGGAAAAGAGAATATATGAAAACCGTATTAGGAAATCATAATTTACAGTGAAAGTCTTTACCATATGATGGTAGAAAATTTTATTTAGCACAAGTGTTTAATACTCTACATATTATTACACACACAGAGAGACACACCCCATTAATATATTGCGTTATGAACTGGAGGAAATAATGAGTTCAGTTTCAGGGTCTTTTAATATTTTCCAGCACATCTATTTATGCTGCATGTCTCTTTCTATATAGTTTGCTTTTCACAATCATATTTTCTGATTTTCAATGACGTATTCAGAATCTAGGTATTTGAAAAAAAGATTTCACTGGATTTTCTATAGGTTTTCTATAGGTTTTGCAAAATTAGAAGCCAGAAAAGCATTCCCAATTATTTTCAGAGGTATTTTTTCTTTCTAGTCATGATTATAATTTAATAAATCAGAATATAACTATCTATCTTAACCCAACTGTTGGTAGCATCTGAATGAACACCACTTCTGTGAAGCTCTGTTACAAGGAACTATGTATATCTGCGACTAACTAAAAGAAATAAAGCAAGAATGTAATGTTTATTGTTCATACTCTTCTACAAAATTTGTATGTCTGACTATCTAAGTAACTGACAAAACTCCACAAAGCCCTGAGGATAGCACTCTTTCATGTCTCATATGACTTCTCTCAGTGATTCTATTATTTTCATTGCATAATATAATGCATCTTAAGAACCAGAGGCATGAAAGACACAGTTTATGATTTTACAAATGTTACAGTGAACAATTTTCCTTCTTCATTAATGCGTTGCTCAATGACAAAACAAACATTTGCGAAGTATTATTGACAATTTCTAATGCTGTGTTCCTGAGGGTGGAAAATCACTTTTATAAAATATAGTATTTCATAATGGTGACATGATGTCAACTGAGGATGTTATAAGGAAATCTATTTATTGGCACCCTGCAAGGAACAATGAAATGATTTTGCAGGCAAAAATTAGTAATTATTTGTGGAAATTGCTTATGGAAACAGCTTCCAGTATTTCTTGATTTAACTAAAATCCAGTCCAGGTAATAAGTAAGTTTCTAAAGGTCTATTTCAATTTACCTTTAAGGGTGGGACTCTGGGTTCTTCTCTAGGTGGTGGCTCTCTTTCAGATGAATTTGTTGATGAATTACGATGGGTCTGATCATCTTCAATTCTAGCCCTCTTCTCTCTACAGATTCCAAAATTGTGATGTTCAGCTGTTTTCCTCTTTGGAATCTCCAGGTCCCTGCTTTCATTTCTTACTTCAGGTGACTTGGTAACTTCACTTGATTTTGAAGAATAGGAACTTTCAAACCGATTCTGTACAGTCCCTTGAAGTTTATGAGACTTATTTCTGCCAATTTCTAAAGATGATGCTGAGGTATATAACTTAGCATGAGACTTAGATGGAAGAGATTCAATATTTTTGCATTCTGCTACTTCCGTTAAGACAGATACTTCCAGTTGAGAGATTGCACTTTTATTTTCAGATCCTTGCTGGCTACCATGATTTCTCATTTTTATCACTTCTGGAGAAGAGCTTTCTGCAAGAGGAGAAATGAAACGGTTCTCTATTTCAGTTTGAGACCTACAGGTTTGATTAGTAAGATTTCTGGACTGGGATCCTTCTGTTATTGAAGGTTCAGATATGACAGCTTTCATAGCATCAGGTACACCTTGAAATGAATTTTGTTGTGATGGAATATTATCTTCTTGTGGAATATTAGGAATGCCACAGGTTTCTTCTTTCAGAGGTGACAAGGATTCTTCAGACAAACACAACGATTTTCTTTGCTGAATAAATCTTTCACTCACTGGCGAATTTGAAAGTGGAGATGCTTCTGAAGGTAATAGTAAACTATTTGAATGAGATGTTTCAGAAGCTAAAAGAACAGAAGACACTGAAGAAGTTTCAGATGTCAAGGGCAAATCAGACATTGGGGAAGTTTCTGACGGTAAAGGTAAATTAGAAGCTGGTGATGCCTCTGAAGTTAGGGGCAAATTTGACAACAGAGATGCTTCTGATGTTACAGGTGAGGCTGGCAGTGGAGATATTTCAGAAATTAAAGATGTATTCAGATTATCATCAACAGATTTTTGTTGAGTATCAGTTTCAGTGGTTTCAGTGCAAGACATGTCTGATGAGCACACAGTTTCAAGAGACACTGGTGTTGAAGGTTCCTCTGAAGTAGACTGGGTGTCACCTCCAGGAGATGCAAAACTGGCAGATGGTTCTTCTGGGCTTTCAGCAGAAAAAGATGTTTCAGAAATACAGGCATTTTCAGATGACAGTTCATCAGGGTTACTCTGCAATTCCATATGTACTGCAACACCTCCGCCAGTGAATAAGGAACCATTAAGGACAGGGGAATATTTTCCATGAGGACTAAGTTCTTTTATGGATTCCAAATCTTTTTCTTCCACATTACTAACAGAATTTGAGGAAGAAGCAGATTGTGAAGGTGATAAACTGCTTTCTATCTGATTTGTTATGACTGGCATTTCTTCCTGGGGATACTCCAATCTTTCCTCTTCTTTAATTTCAACATGAGATAATGGACTTAATACATCATTCATCACAATAAATGATTCAGAATTCCCTGTAAGCGGTAAAGGATCTGTTTCTTCATTTGTACCAACTGGACTAACTGGTCGTTCTGAATTCACATGTTCTTTTTGGTTCTCTTCCTGACATTCACAAATACTTGTCTCAACTTCCTCAGCAATCTCTTCTTGAATAATGGATTCTTCTGGAATCAAAATGTCTTCTGTTTCTGCCATTAGATCCTTGGCAGGAACATGCTCCATGTTGCAAAGTGCCTGACAGAAATCTCTCTCTGGCAAGAGTGGTGACTGGTTGCTCTTTTCTTCGTGATCATCAAAAGAGGGCTCTCTTGAAGGACCAGGCAAATCCGAAGAACCAGAGAGGGATTTATTATCGTCTTCATTATTTTGTACTGATGTAAGCTTCCTAGATTCTTCCACTGACATCCCCAACCTAATCAGAGATCACAGTTAAATTACATAACCATATTTCAATACACATACGTCAGAAAAACAGCTATAGAGTTTCATTCTATGCTATAAACATATAGTCTCTAAAGGAATCAAATATACCAAATTCCTGATCTACAAAAAGTATATTTGATTAATAAAATAATTTTTAAATGTGCTTATATAAAAACATTTCTTTTGCCATTTACTTACAGGTTAGGGTTAGGGTTTCATTCCACAGTGATTTATACTCAACTAAAGCCAGGGCAAAGAGACATCACATGGTTACATACAGAAAATTACTGTGCTTGCCCTGGTATCCAGCCTTCAGTGATATCATAGAAAATCTATCAGTGGACTGGAGAATGTGTTAAAAGCCTGTCATCTCTGGCCATTTTTCCACTAGCAGTTTACAGCATATTCTAGAGTTATCCAACCATTATTGTGCCAAAATGACAGTAATGAGGACAGATTCTATATCACCTCCATGATGGCTGGATGATGCCATGAAGGTATTATAAATCTCCAAAGAGGAAAAAGGGCTCAAATTTTGTTATTTTTAACTTCCTTCACTGGTGGTTTTTTTTTTTATTTCAGCTTACTGATAGAAAATATTTTTATCTTATCTAACTATTCTGTCACTATAAATATAGCACTTAGGGTACATAATATTTTTAGGACTGGCCTAAGGGGTATTTTTAGTTGGGTTTTAAAACAATTTTAAAATAACAAAGGCCAAATTAATATTTCCTTTTAATTATGTTTTTAACGGTGGTGTTTTTGTACTTTTGTATTTGTTTTTATTAGGCTGTTAGCCACCCTGAGTCCGCAAGGAGAAGGGCGGGGTAAAAATACAATAAATAATAATAATACTAATAATAATACACAAACATACATTGTTTTTATTCACTCAAGTAAATGCCCTAGTAAAGGATATTATGGAGGAAAAACAAGTACTAAAATAATTTTTGTGATTACATTTAGCTAATTTTATTACCTATGATTCCTTCTGAAATTTAAAGGTTAAAAAAGGATGGGTTTTACCTATTCATATTCAGTCTGTATTGTCTATATTTGAATTTAATACATCTGTGTTTAATATAGTTGGGGAAGGTTTTGATGAAACTGTAGATTACTTTTAGTGTTTAAAATAGGAGGTTGAGAAATTGAAAAAATAAATCCAAGGAAGCTTTAGCAATGGCAATAGGAACTAAAATAATTGTCAAATTTATTAGGTAATTTTTTTAAAACTAAAAGTTAAGAGTTCATGAAAGGCAAATGTACATTTTAATAGCTATGCACATTGTTACATATTGGAGGACATTTTTTTCTCTTTAATACTTACTTTTCTCCATAAAATCTTTCAAAGAACTTCTCTTTCCAGGGTTCTGTTTTCTTTTCCTTTTCAATTTCTTGCCTGATGCGCAACTGCATCTCAGGTGTAAATTCTCCTAAAAGATACAAGAAACGGAAGGTCCAAAGAATTAACTAGGGGTGCAACTGAGTTTTGTGTAGTGCAGGAATTTCTGCAGGAGACCCCTTATACAAATGCTGCGCTAAAGTTGCTTGGCCAACTGTGCTCTAAGGTTTCAAAACTTGGACAAATGTCAAAGATTTTTTGCACATCAACATTGCTTTCCCAAACATCATGCAGTTCCTGTGCTCTGCTAGCTGCTGCCTGAAATGCCACCATCTTTGGGCATGGACGGTTGAAGTTTTCCCCTATTGCAAAGAGTGGTTCAATATTCCATCCAAAATTTGAATCCAAGCATCAAAACTCAATCCAAAATTTATTTGCGAGAAACCTGTGCTAAAATGGTACTTGTAGTGCTGTTTTTAGTATTTCTAGAGTGTATTGGTGGGATTTAGTCACATGCATTTAGGTTTCCAAAGCTGACACTGATGAAAATGCTTGTTCATATTTTAAGTGAAAGTACCCAATGATAATCTATTGTGAGGTATAAGAGAAAGACGTGCTTAATACAACTGGAAGATGATCTAGTGTACATAGTTTTGAAATCTTGCCACTTTACATATTATCAATTTCATTGCTTAGTTTTCTATCCCGCCTTTCCTCCAGGAGCTCAAGGCAGTGTTATAGCACCCTGTTCCCAATTTTTCCCCACAACTGTGTAAGATACATTTGGGTTGAGAGAGAATAAAATATTTAAAGTGTTGAAATGTATGTTTCCTTGCTGTGACACAAGACGGGATCTCTTTATGGAGGGAAAACACTATTGGTTAAATCTAGTAACAAGTAGAAAATTACCTTCTGCCAATCGCTGTTTCCACCCTTGTGCTGCATATGCAAAGAATTCATTATTTAGAGCGGAACTACTGAGGCGCAAAACTCCATCACTTCCCATCTAGAAAATAAGCCGATGGTAGCAGAAGTCACTGTCAGAGATTGCTTCAACTAAGAGTACATAAGAAGAGAGCTCCAATCATGTGAAATGGGGAAGGATAGAAAGTAGGAATAACATAGGGAATAATGTGCTAATATTAAATAGCATTTTCATTATAGTCATCAAATTAAATGCAAGTGGCCTAATCCAACATCAGTGTGCCTATAATAATGTTCTGTTGTTTATGATATTGGAATCCTTTGTTTACGTGGAAATTGTTAAGTCCATTCTGTTCAATCGGGCTAATTTTCAAATAATGATGCAGTCTTTGTTTATGATCTAAGAGCAAATCAAAGAAACATTTTTGAGATGGAACAAATAATAGCAACATTGGAAACAAAATGTCCAATATCTCATCTCTAAAAAAAGAGTACATTTTTATGAAGTTATTCCAGTGACTAGCAAGAAATTGTTAGACCAACAGTATGTCCAAGTTTCATACAAAATTAAGAAATAAGTGAACTAATGCATTATTTCACAGAACTACAATGGGTAGAATTCAAAGCTAATAAAACAATATACTACTAGGATTCTGTGACCGTTCCTTCAATCAAGTTTCTAATGATGACATGAGACGAATGAAGTGCGATGGATGACTTGCAGTGGAGAAAAAATAGATACATTAAGAGTGTGGGCAACCTTTTTCATTGGTAGCTGAGGGCTACACCTTTTGGATCTCGAAATCTATAGTGTGCACTCACAATGTTATGTTAGAGCTTGCAGAGTGATTAGCAAAGTAGGTATGGTTAATAAAAACCAAAATAAGAAGTGGCAGTTTTAGTTTCTGGCTTCCTCCATTCATCTTAATCTCTTTTTAGATTAAGGATTGGAAGTCAGGTACCATTTTACATTAGAAACATTTGAAATATGAAAATATCCATTTTTCACCAAGTAAAGTTTCACACTTCTCATGATCTAATTTAAATATATTAAATAAAATATATTACTTTCAAAGGAAAGAGACGAAAAATCTGTCAGTTAAACGAATTGTTATGAGCTTCTTCTAAGACTTCGGCTCAATATCAATCACTACATGAGAATGTTTTTAAATCTTTAGTGCATGTATTGTATAAATTAAAGAATTAAAGAAAATGAAAGGAAGAGAAAACTAAAAATTTCTAAATAGACACTTAATTCAATAGTCTATGTTACAAAGAAGGCACAATTAACCATGAAAATTAAATAAGTATTTAGAGGAACATGCCAATAAAGTATTTTTAAAATACACTATTAATTTTTACGATTCTCAAGAACTGCTACCTAATGAAAACAATGCTTTACTGAGCCAGAATAACAAATGTTTTTAAAAGTTATTTTCTTCTTCTTTGGGGTTTGGAATTCTGATTTTGTCCAATTAAACACAATGAAATTACTATTCACCAGGCGTGCACTTTCTGAAGAACTTGCACCAAAAAGATTAGTTTTTTAAAAAAATATTTAAAAGTAGAAAACATATTTGATAGAATCCACCAGTTATTTTCATAAGCCAAGAAAAACTCAAACCTTAGTAAATAATAACTTTTTTGTAACTGGAATACATACTGTATTATACCATGTAAACATTTATTTTATAAAACTTCAAATCTTCATGATTTCCTAAAAGAATATACTATTTTACAGATGATCAAATTTTCCTGTATAGCTGATACCTTAAGAAGCATTCAACCAGTTAAATCTATTATCTGTTTGACTCCCTGCAGCTCAATCCAATATTACATATATAAAGCTACTGCTTAACCTTTATACATAATTGATAAGCAGAAACATTTCTCAAATAAAAGATTCAGTTATTATAGGTTGTAATTTTATAGTTAATATAAGCAGCAATACTGTAGATGTTACATTATTTGATTATACTACAATAGTAAAGCTTTAGCCTTATAACATCAAAGGCTTACTTTACTAAATTAACATTTTATCGTCCAATATTGATTTCCCATTTTAAAGGACAGTATTAAATTATTATTGCCTTTTAGAAATTTGTGAGGAAAAGATTATTTTAGAAACTTTCTTGCAGACATTTAAGAGGAAGGTGCCATAAAGAAAATGATTAGCTGTAACATTTTTTAGAAATGTAATAACACACACAGATTAAAACTATGTTTAAGACAGTCTATAAAATAAAGCTGAATGTTTACCATTCCATCATTTGTCAGACTGATCAAATCTCATAGGAGTCTATTTTTCAAAGTGTAAAATGTGACTCCATTTCATATCCAAATGTGGCCACTACAATTTTGACTTTAATCCAAAGTACCTTTTGAGGCATGAAGAAATCTGGAGTCTGATATTGTAGCTTTTACTACTATTAAATTATAAACACACTATCAAAGAAAGATTATGGCAGTCTGAAGATTCAAATATGTAATAAGTACTAACAAATTAATAGAAAAATGTCCATGATTGGCAAGTTCAGAGCCAAAAATCCACACACTGTAAGTAATTTAGAAAGGTCACTGAAAACTGCTCCATAAATTACAATCCAGAAGAAATCACAACATACCCAAATATTTCATCTGAGCAACTTCTGTAAAAGATACATTTTCTACAAGGAAATTTAGCAGTTAGGTAAGCTTCCTTAAACAAATACATGTATGCAACTGGCATATATGCATACTGTATGTCACCCTTTGCACCTTGAAATGCCAGAGAAACAAATCCAGGCAAGAGGTTTTTTTTAGGTTCAAAGTCAGAATAGACTGCGTTTTACCATTCCGCAAGGGGAAAATTAACATTCTTAAATTTTCCTATTTTGCCATAGGAATAGGGGTTTAATGATCCTGATGCACATCTTAGTATCAACTATCATATTACAGGGATGGATCAATGCTTAAACTATTGCACACAATACCAAAACATCTTCAAAATAAGTGTAAGAAAATGACAAGTTATTTTTCAACATAGTGCACACCGGATGAGTTGACAATACGGATTACTCTTAGAGTTCCAGATGAAACATTATTTAGCTACATGAATGAATTTTATTTGAGAAAACCAAGTGAAATGCAAAATGATAGTAATATAGATTTTTATGGAAAGGGGTTTAATTATTTTTATATATTTTACATTCTGAATGAGAAATGAAATGAAAAATTATTTTCCAAGTGAAATATATACTGGATAATATACTGTCAGTTTCTGGAATGTATGGGTAGAAAAGTATGCTTAGTGGGATACATATAACATGTTATACATGTCATGATAAACTTATCTCAGGAATTTAAACTTCCTCTGGCTATAACTAAATGAAATTGAGGAAATATTGGGCCATATATTATCAAATGCACATTGCAACAGACAACTAAATGAATATGTTTCAAAATATTAAACTACAGAATCATCAGAATATACTGAGACTGGCATGGTGACTATACAATAGCACAGATTTAAATCTAGTTTCAAAAATTCAAAAAGGGCTTACCTACTAAGCACTTTTCATATACTAAGCCAATTCATATACTATGCATATCAACTTGCTGTTCAGGTATATAAGCAATGCAGCTAAATAGCATAAAATGAACGCTTGATTATTACATTTATCCAAACTGTTATTCATGGCTAGTGAATTGATAGGTGAAATTTGCTGAATCAGGTCATTAATCTATTTAGACCGACATTGTTCTGCTCTGAGCGGCTTACTAACATTTGCTGCCTTAAATATTTTTCTTTAATGTCTTGAATTAAGGGCATTCTGCCCTGTGTTTGTCCTAAATTAAAACCCCAAAATTGCAACTGAATAATGCTGCCTTTGCGACACAGTTGCAAGGTAATCTAGTTTTATATTCTATCTCTGTATACAGAGGTTGTGTAAACAAATCCCAGTGTGTTACAGACTAGAAAGTATGTAAACAGTGTGTCTAAGAAAAACTGCAGGTAATCAAGAATGTATCTTCCCAAGAGAAGCGAAAGAAAATTGGACAGCAAACCAATTTCTTAAATGTAACAGCCACAATTCAGAAAAGTACAAGCAAAGGATCCATCAGCTTACTGGAAGAACAGGTTACTATCTGCAACAAGCAGAGTAAGAGGGAGTGGGGAGAAGTGCAGAAAAAAAGAAAATAAAGCTTTTTTCTGCATATTTTGGGTTGCAGCCAACTGCTTAAAATAATTTTTTTATTATAGTAACTGAAAGACTTTTATTAAAAAAGAATATAAATAAATGTTCTCCATTACCCAACCATAAAAGTATTTAAAAAGTTGACACCTCATTTTTCTAATGGAAAATTGGGCATTAATCATGTCATAAGACTCTTTTTTGGAAACCATAACATTTATCCATTACATTAATTGGTACTGTGGCAAACTAAAAATATACCAATTTTATTTCTAAATTTAGACTCTATAACTAAGATCTTTTTTTGCTTTACTAGCTGATAGAAATATCCCAATAGACAACATCTTACTAGCTTCCAAAATCAAGGGTTAGAGATAGAAGATGATGTGCCACCCATTCCTCAACTTTATCATCCTTCCTTAAGTGTTATCAGGGTAAAAAAAGATGAAAGAACTATTGTTTTAGATTGTTTTAGATCAAGAGTGACTATTCATCTTGGGAGAACATGTGAGAAGCTTCTAGAAATCAAAACTGGGAGCGCAGTATTTTGGATAAGAAATCTAATATCAAATGGTCGGGGAAGTCATAGATCACATATATGGAAAGATATAAACCATCTTGGAAGGGCACAAGAGATGAAACAGATATCACTGAGTATTTCAGAAGAAATACAAGAGTCAACCAAGGATGAGGTTTTTTTTAATTTTCCATGTTAGCAGATAATTTATTTAGGTGAGTTCTTCATTGCAGGGTAGAACGTTCCATGGACTTTGTCTTTAATGGGAAAGTCAGCAGCCCTTTCATTAATTGATTTAATTAATCTCTGGATATTTCAACAAATTTGTGAAAAAGAAACTGGTAGGTCAAAATTTAGAAAGATGATATAGGTTTCAGAGTGGCAGTCAGG